CATGACATGATCAGAGTTGGGCAATAGAATTCATAGAGACCTTGAGAAGCAAAGGTAGAAGAGAGACCTCAATTGGGGAGACCAATTAAGAGGCTCTTATAATCAGGCAGGTGGTGGCAAAGGGCCTGGAGAAGAGGAGGATCTGCATGAGAGACACAGCCAAGAAAGAGTGCAAGGACTTAGGAACTGATTGGAGGAGGGACAGGTAGGACTCTTCATTGCATACCTGTGATTGTGGTTACAAAAGTAAAAGTCCTCGCTTACCCACAAAGCCTTCTTGATATTACACAGAGCCACCATTTTTGGCTTGCAACACAACGTGAACGGTGCCCCTTGAGTTGTGCAGTGCATAATACATGCAACATATGTGAGACCTTTCAGCAGCATAGTCACCCTCATCCACAACTCAAACTCAACAGTTTCCATAGTCGATATGTGTGCAGCCTTTATCACAGGCCAATGCTTCGTCAGATTTCTCACGGAATTGAAACACTAACAAGAGAGAGTCGGGAAGAGACAGCAAGGAAATAGAGCTGGGAAAATCCAGCTGAGTGCTGTTCATTCAACCTACATTCTTTTTCCCAGTGGATTAGCTCATCTGATTACCAGAATCTGGCTGGGTGTGAAGAACATAAAAGACTTTGATTTGAAAGTCAGTGGACTTGGATGTTTAGACTCAGGTCACTCATTTCCTAGGTGTATGATCTTGAACAAGTAGTGCTCTTTCAATTTCAAACCCCTGAAGAGGTACTCTATAGAAAACAAATCAAGCTAGTGGGGTGAGGACAACATTAGATAAAGTGGTCAGGGGAGGCTTCTTGAAAGAAAGGACAAGTGAGCTGAAACCTGAAGGAGAAGGAGTCAGCCAAGAAGGTGGGGAGTTTGGGGGCAGGGAGCATCCAAGGCAGAAAGGATGGCAAATGCAGTCTTCCTGAGGAAGGAACAAGCGTGATGTGTTTGAGAAGGCCGGGCTGGCTCACTCCTAACCCTCTCTCAACGGCTGCAGGGGAGGTGTATTTTGTTGTTGTTATTTGTGTGTTTGTTTAATTTTGAAGGAAGTTATTTTGTTGATAAAGTTTAGAGGGTCATTTTAACAAGTCTAATAGAAACTAGAAGTCAGACAGAATGTTGTGTGGCAGCAGGTTTCAAGCTTTTTAATGCCTAAAAAAGTGAGCATAGTACAAAGCCGAGAACGAACCCAGATGACCCTAAAAAGCTGTACAAAGCAGGGGTTGAGCAAAGTTCAAGCAGAGATAGAAGTTTCTGCTCCTGGAGACTGAAGTCAGGGACTAGAGCTTTATCTGATCACATGAAATAGGCTCACAGGGCTCTCGTTTTATGATTTTACTCTCTTGGCTGTGGGAGTTGACCTTTTCTGTGATTGATGGTCAGGTTCAAGAGAAGGTCTATGAAAACTAAAAACTCTCTCTGGAGGAAATTATACTCATGATGGCAATCCATTTGATAGTGGCCTTGCTTCCTTCTTGTTTTTCAATATGTTGCACGTATTATGCACATTTCAACCAGGAGAAAACAATGTGGAAAAGCGAGAGAGCAGGGAACTCACTGGCAGAGGTCTTGCATCTGAATCCAGCTCCTCCTCCCTCAACTCCTTCCTCAACTCACTGTGTGCCTTGGACAAGTTTGAGCCTTTTGGAGAGTCTGGTTCCTCATCACCAGAAGGAAGATAATAATCCTTTCCCTGCCTTCCTCCTAAGATCATTATAAGACTTAAATGAGAGATCAAATATGAAAGTATTTTGTACACTGTAATGCCATGTGTATGAAGCAGAAAATAATAGCATCTGCAGTATTACAAAACACCTGGAACTTTGTAAAGATGTTTCTTTGATTCAACATTACTGGAGTAGACCACACCATTTTATTAGCCAGAGTGAAAGACTCCACTGCAGAGAGGGAGAGAAAGAGAGAGACATTGATTTTTAGAACAACAGAATTATAGATTTTACTTGCCTCTTTTGTACAGAATAATTTATTATAGCATAAACTAAATACAAGGCTCTAAATAAATAATCACTTTTCCCAGTCATTGCATCTACAAGTGTGTCCATGCACACTTCCGTGAGCACATAAGGACACAGAAGGCACAGACATATTTCCATTCTCATATTTAGTGAGGAGAGCCTGGAGTCAGCGTCCTTCTCTGCAAGTAAGAGCCGTATACCTTGGAGGGAACATACAGGGGACCCTCTCAAATGATTTGGAGCAGGTGACTGTGTCCTTTTCTCCTCCGAGTCCTGGTCAGGAAAGTGTATTGGGTGCAGGTAGCTCTGCCCTTGGGTTTGGGGCACTCTCTCACGTTCTTTTACTCAAAATTTTCAATCACCTCTTTCTAAGAATATACACACATCAGAAGTATTCCCCAGCTGTCAACTTGGCAGTCAGGACCCCTCACTGTGCACCCTCTTTTCTAGGCTCTTCTTCCCATTAGAAGCCACCTTCCAAGGTACAGAGCAGTCAAGTCTGTTTGTCCCCACCGTGGGACCTCACAGGGCCAGAGCCCATCCTCCCAGCCCATCTCCCCACGAGGGTCAGGTTGATATTCTGTGTGGGCAGCAGCAGTAAATGCTTCACTTCACTGCATAAGACTGAGACACTGGGTGTATTGAGCCTAGAAGGGATCTTGCAGGTACCTGAGTTTCATCTGATACTTCACTTCCTTCTCTAATTGGTCTTTGAATATCCACTGGAGTCACCAGAGGTGACACTGGCACCTCCAACATCACAGAGCACACACCTCGTGAAGTCACCAGCCTCTACTTCCGTCAGTGCTGTTAGGATAGCGGTCTTCGTGTCAGCCCGAAGCCATTCCCACCATGCTCTTTATCAGCACAGATAGGAGCCTTCTCTCTCACAGTAACCCTTCAAGCATTTTAATACAGTTCTCACAATTCCCCTGACTTTCTGTATCTCCAGGCTAAGCACCCCTGACCCTGTCACTTCCTGCCTTTAAGATGTAGCTGGTCTCAAGCATAGTCTTCAGAATAAGTCCCTTTTGGAAAAGATTTTAGACTGTTTGGCTGGTGGAGAACCAGAGTTCTCCATCCCTGTTCCCTGCCAGCCGTGCACCAATTGCTGGGGATGGAATCACTTAGGACAAAGACAAGAGCAACTCAGAGTCTCAGAAAGACAAACAGACCCTGTGGGTTTGGGTTTCATTTTGTTTTCAACATACCTCTAGCCCAAGTCTGGCAGGATGCCTGGAATTCATTTGAACAGGAAGGCCTGGCATTAACAAAAGAGTGCCTCCTTCCACCTGGCAAATAAGAAACGCACCCTTTGTTTGACTGTCAGATGACACCAAGCGCCCTGCCCTGCTGGAGCTTTGTAATTAGGTGGTATTTGGAAGCAACAGAAGGTTCCCTCAGAAGATCTGTGTCTGAGGCCTGGTCTGCTCTCCTCACCCTCAATCTCAGTTTTCTCAGCTGTACAGTGGGGATGATAAGCCCTTCCTTGGCTGAGTCCCAGGAGAATTGTGCAACTCAAATAAGCTAGTGGAGGTGACAGCCCTTGGTGCAGGGCTTTTCTAATTAATCGTGCACATTGCTCTTGCTTGTCACTAGGTTGTAGACCATCGCCAATTTGCCCCTGCTCATCACCCTCCACTTTTGAAAGATGAGGAAAACTATAAGTTTTAGAAAAAGACATTCAGAGCTGCCGCATCTCTGCTGAGGTTGACTTTGTAAAAGAAAACATTTCTTTCTATATCAAAAAAGACAATGATTCTGCAGCCTATTTTAATGATTCTTCACTTCGTATTTTAAAGCCAGAAGCAACCATCATGACTGCTCGATGGTACCTCAGCCAGCTACCATCATGGCTGAGAAACCCCATGTTCCCAGAATTATCTAGTTACAGAGCCACCAACCATGCTCAGTAGTTCAGCCAGGGAAAGGAATGATGGCAGATGCTATTGATAAGTAGCAAAGCCAGCCACTTATCATGGGCCAAGACACTCAGCCCTGCCCAGAACACTCACTTGTGACTTGATGTTCATAATGAAGATTTTGCTTTTGCTTTAAAATAATATTTGTGGATGTTCTCCCAGAATTCAGGGTTGTCTGCTGAGCTAACAGAATCCCGAGTGTTTTCTTTGCTAGATGAATCCAATATAACCAAACTGTAACAGTGATGAAATAAGGAAAATTTTTGTTTTGTGAAAACTGAAGCCTCAAACTTAAGAAATGTGTAGGTTGTGTGAGGACTTACGTGGATGATAGCATATGATGTTGTAGTACAAGACTAACTTTTCTCAAAAATAATAGAGCAGGGGAGTGAAAATTCCTGGAGTCGGGCATGCGAGATGAGAGGTTCTTAAAACAGAGTTTACAGGGTTGGGAGACGCAGAGTTAGCAGACAGAACACTTTGATACGTGCTGCTTTCCTCTCTTTCCCAGGAACACAAGCCAGATCAACTACATAATTTGTGGGGCCCAGTGCAAAATTAAAACATGGAAATCCTTGTTCAAAAATTAAGAATTTCAAGATGGCAGGAGCAGAGCATTAAACCAAGTGTGGGCCTTTCTAAGCATGGGGTCCTGTGTGACTACACAGGTCATCGGCCCACGAAGCCAGCCCTAAATACAGGAGACTGCATTTCTCTGCTTCTTTGCCAAATCCCTGGTTAAGGTGATGTGGGTGATGGAAGAGATATGTGCCATTTTTGGGGTGAGGCAGTGAAGAGCCCTTGTGTGATCTGCAGTCTTCCTTCCCTTATCACAGTAAACATGGAGACCTTGTGTTGAGTCAGTGAAGCCATCAGATTGAAGCAGTCACCACTCCGAGGAGAGCTACTCTAAAGAGTCACCTGGACCAAGAAAGAAGCTCTTAGGTGTTAAGCCACTGAGATATGGGAGTTGCTTGTTATTGCAGCACCAGCTTAGCCTATTATCACTACTACATAGGTGAAGGCCAGAAGGAGAAGGAAATGCTTCAAATCTGAGAAATATGACAAAGGAAAGGAAATCAGACAGTGAAGATTGGTGTGATAGTTCCCTTGCATTCATTTTTCCATCAGTGAAATGAGAATTCAAAAATGATCTTTAACGTGTTACAATTCTATGACTACACATACTGCTACTTTCCCTCAATTCACTTAAAATATATATTATCTAAGAAAAAAGATTGCATATTCTCCTTCTCCTTTAGTCTCCCAATCTCTTGGCCCACTGCCATCCTTGGTCCACTCTTGATTCACTGAACACCTCTAATACTTTCAGCAGCCAAGACGGAAGCACTCTTGGGGCAGTGTTCTGCTCTGTAGAAAGTATTTTGTCAAACAGACTTTAATTTGTCACCATGATTTGATAGGTTTTTGATTCCAAAAACTCCAGCTGATATTGTAAGAGTCTCATTGCTTAAAAAAATCACTGAAATTGGTCCCTTTTGTTGTCATTTCTATATTATATCAACATGTTTATCTCATTGCCTTCAAAGTTGTTCCTCATTGCTCTCAAAGACCGGATTGCTGTAAGACACTTCCCTGCCATACCCCGGGGTGTCAGAGTAGGAGGTTTGGTTTATCGGGGGCCAAGTGGGGTCATTTGCCAAAGCCCTCTGCCATACCCGATACTGGTTTTTTGATTGATAGCCAAAACACCTTTTGATTATTATCCACAGCGCTCGGTTTTCAATAATGGCTTCCTGCAAAATAAAAGAGTTACTGTTTACAATCAGAGGTTAAGTGTTTCCAGGCTACAGCTCTCCATAGACCACAACGAGGCACTACTGCATCGTCTACTTAGATCTAGCTTGACAAAGAACTTGAGCCCCGGACAAACAAATCCAAGGTGGTTTCACGGCCTCTCAAACTTTCGCTCTTAAAGAACTCTTCTGGGAGAAGAGAGAAGTACATAGTTTCAAGAATCTGGAAACATAGCTTGAAGTAGTCAGCCTCAAGGATGAAATTTATTCTGAATCTTATATATAAATTAAATTTAAAAGCATTCAAATTCTGCAGTCCACTCCATACCACATCCATATTTAATTTAATGAAAAAAGACATTTAAAATTACTTACCACCAAATGGAATTGACCCTATAGAAAGATGTGTCACACGTACTATGTGGGTTTGGTATACCCTGGCACATCACTGCATAGTCATGAATACAGGTCGATAAAATTGAAATATGGGCCACAGTCTTGGAGTTGGACAGATCTGGATTAGAGTCCCAGCTCTCACACCTACTATGGGCAAATTAATTACCCTATCTGAGCCTCAGTGATTAGAAATAATAATTCCTTCCTCTTGTGTTTGTCATACGGATTATATAACTCTCCTCACAACACAGGGCTGGCATAGCTCAGAATATGAGCCGCCCTTCGCCGCCTTTCTGAGCTACTCATTTAACAAACGCTATGCACTGTGGCCAGGTAAACATATGTCTCTAACCTTCACCCACAAATATTTCATTGCAATACATTTTTTAAGATTACAAAAGATGTCTCTTTGGAAACTCTTTGGACTGCCATTTTATTTCATGATTTAGGCTGAGCCTTGAATCGAGCCCAGGTTATAATTTACAATCCACAATGGATGAAAGGTTATCATGTTAATTTTTCCATTTTTATTATATTTGGTCACAGAGGTTAATCATCTTAGAAGTTATCATGAAAGAAACAAAGAGAAAAATATGACAAGCCAAGCTGTCCCACAGAATTAGAACTGGTTTTGTTGTCTATCAGTGGTATCTTTGCTAAACCGTAAGGGTTAATTCTGTAGGATTCTAAAGGGAACTTTGCCAGAGATAGTGGTTTTCCTAAAATTCACCTCTCTTTGACATTTGAGCCCCATTGCTTGCGGAAATGATAAAGAACAGCTAGTCTAAGTCTTCCTCTAAAAACTGATCATCTGCTGGCAGGCTGTTAAAAACCCAAACAGCCATCTCATCAGCATCTTGCGAACCTCAGGGGTCCCCTGCCAGACCTGTTATTCCACTTTCCCACAGCAAGGATTTTTGTCCTTCTTAATGAACTAGAGAAGAGTAGTTTTCCTCAGAGCTAGGATAAGGCAGGATCATTGGTATCCAATTAAAGGCTTTAAGATCTAACTTACCCCCAGGAAATCTTAGCAGGCTTTAGACAAAACAAATGAAACAAAACACACACACATGCACGCACACATACAAAAGAACTTTAGTGCTCTATGCCTTGCCTTGAGTTCTTTTACAATTTTTTTACAATTCTAGATGTATGATGGCCTGTATCACTTTGCTGCTCTGGAAAGGGGAACAGAAGCTCTGAGAGATGATCTGTCCTGTCACTCTACATTGTAAATTAAATGCAGAGCTAGAAACAAAAGGAAAGGCTTGATGAGATACCATTTCTTAAAAAAAAAAAAAATTTCACCACATGAGCTCTTCTGACTGGCTACTCAAATAATTCATGCATATATACGTGCGTACATATATATACAAACTCAAAAGAGCGGGCAGCCCCTCTGCCTGTTAGTCAGAGGTTAGTTAGATCACGAGACTCAGCAAAGAAAGGATAAGGTCTCACTGAAAACTGTTTGTTTTCTGGGCTGTTCTAAGATCAGGGCTACAGCTAGGGTTAGGTTTAGACCTCTCAGCAGAGCAGACAATATTCAGGACTGTGCAGAAGGAGGCCAGCCATCCTCCATGCTTGTCTCCTCAAAACCTTTCTGGACCATCTCTGCTCCAGGCTGGCCAGGTAGTATGGGTCAGCACAGCCCATAGCAGGAACCCTTAGTGTCTTGTGACAGACATACATAGAGCCTCCTGAGGAAAAGATCTTGCTGCATCCACAATGAAGTAGGTAGTCTTTACCTACTCTGCTAGGCTTACCTCATGAGGCAGGAAACCTTAGTGTCCTTAATTCTCCATTACAACTGCCTTCACCAACATCTCAAATGACTCAGGTTTGTCCCTAAGTACCTTGACAGCAGAGAAAGGGCTAACTGCAAGGAGGATCCTGGGGTGGGAGCTTGAACCCCACAATGTCATTTCTCAGAAGCTGCTGGGAACCTACACTAAACATCTATGTGTGTGTCTCTATTTCTCATTCAACATGAGAAACAAAGGAGAAACTTATCTTTCATGAGTATCAGATTACCCTCTCCATCTGCTGGGGGTGAGCAGGGTCACTTCTTACATTTGATAATTGAATAAACCTTTACGCAGCTAATATCAGAATAAAGCAGGGTTTTAGGTGCCATAGTTACTGAGATGAGTTCTTGCCAGCGTAGTTTAATGGCAGGTGAGTGAAAAAAATTGATACACAAGTAACTATAGCCCTTGTCCACTGGCTTCCTGTAGATTGTGAACTCTACTCCTATGTCATTATTATCGTTAGGGCATCATGCCCTAGGACACAGCACATGATCAACAAATGTTTGTGGAAAGAGTAAATGAATAAATGGATGCCTGAATGATTGATAGATACAAAATAAGAAATGGTAAGTTCCACAAGAGATAATATAATAATAACAGTTTATATTTACTAAACACTTACTATATGCTTTTCACTGTTCACATTTCATGCTCACACAGTAACCCTATGAGGTAAGGTACCATTATTATCATCATTTTATAGATGATGAACAAAGACACAGAAAAGTGGAAGAACTTGCCCAAAGTCAGACAACAAGAAAGGTTGGAGCCAGGATTCAAAGCAAGATAGACGACTCTGAATCTTTTGCTCTTAACTGCAAATATACTGACAGCAGAACGGCTTCCTGCTAGGGAATTATGGCAGACTTTGTTGCTTGATTACCCTACAGCCCATTCCTCCTAACTCTCCCTTGCCTGCCTAAAAGGAAAAAAGTCATAAATAATCTAAGCCAACTTATCTAACTTTTTGGCATAGATCCACTTTCCCAGAATCCTTTTCTACTCAAGATGACAATGAACAGTTCCAACTAAGAAGGCATAACAGGAAGTCAGCTGGTGGGCTGCGGGAAATTTTTTTGTTTTCTAATAAAAGGTTCATACTTGAGGGAAAAGCTTGCTGGTGCCTCTCCTTCCATTTTTTTTCCTGCACTCAAAACAGACATAATGCCCAGCTATGTGGAAGCTATCTGGGCACCACAGACAATTAGTACAATCATGAAAGGCCAACATCTAAGGATGATGAGACAGAAAAGTAAAAGAATGGGATCTCCAAAGACGCTACTGAGTTGCTAAACTAGCCCTAAAGCCACTTACCTCCAATCTTCTTAATAAGTGAGTCAATAAATATCTCTATTGTTTAAGCCACTGTTAGTTGAGTTTTGTTATTTGCCTAACTGATCCAAGCATCAGGAAAGATTCGTGGAGAGGATAGTACCAAAGCTGTGCCATAGAGGATGAGATAGCATTTCAACACGCAGAAATGAGGAAAGATGTACTAGACAGAGGAAATAATGTCATCATGGACAGAGACAAGATATATCCATAAGATTATCCCTTAAAGGGCAAGGACCATTTTTCTGCAAATCAGTATGACAGCCATGACGATGCTCTTTTATTTGTGATACCGGCTCAACACAAGGTTGACATGAGGGAAGCCATATTGTAGAAAAGAAGCCCTATTGTAACTTTGAATGACTTCTGACAAACTAACCCAGCTGGATATGCACTCTCCAGTAAATCTAACTGCTTTGTAGATTTTAAGACCCCTGCTTGTGCATGTACCTCCCAGCTGTGATAAGATGATTACTTTGTTCTTTTGAGCTCCTTAGGAATGTGCTGACCCCTGAACAGAGAGTCTGTGCTGATAGCCATCATCAATGAAAACTGAAAGATCTGGTGTGGCACTCCCAGCCTGTAACACCAGAAGGTCAACACTCTCAACCCCCTCCCCTATAACCCAATGGCCTATATAACTGCTGTAAGATTTTGTGTCCCCTTAAGATGATTCTTTGAGACATCAGTCAGCCCTCTGTCCCCTTGCTAGCAAGCTGTAATAAACTGCCCTTTCTTTTCCACCATCTTGCCTCTTGACAATTGGCTTTGTCTCAAGGCAAGCAGATTGTGGCCTTTCTGCAGTAACATTAATTTGTTGGCTTTGGAGACCATATGGTTTACCACAGTGCTTCTCAGTGTGGTCCCTGAGCCAACATCAGGATCACCTGGCAACCTGTCAGAAACAAAAACTTGTGCCTACTCCAGACCCATTGAATCAGAAATGCTGGGAGCGGGGCTGGACAATCTATGTTTTAACACACCCTCCAGGCAATTCTGATGCCCACTCAAGTTTGAGAAGCCCTGGTTTAGCATATGGAGAGAAGCTCCAGTACCCTAATTCTGTGTCCTGTTCTGCTACCAGCTCCTGTGCCGCCGTTAGCCCACTTACTAAGGAAAGATCATTGAATACCTGCCTACAAAATACTGCAGAGAAGCCAGGCTCCAGGTGCTCTCAGCCCACCATGAATCCCCCCTCACTGGAACAAGTCCGGGCTTGTAACTAGGAGCAGGAATGGGGATCCACGGAATCCTGCAGCTCACCTCTCCTTCAGAATGGGTGCCTTTTCCACGACACCCCCTGCCCAACAGGGGGCTTTGAAGAATGGAGATTGTGTCTAACAGTGTTGGAGAGGAGAGAGTGAACCAGGTAGCGAAAGAAAGGGGGAGCACAAGTTCATTTTACTGAGGAAATGGAGCAAATGGGAGCTGAAGAATAAAAGCTGGAAAAAGCTCAGTAGGAATCTCATTTTCCATTTATAAAGTAAAAGTGATAAAGTTGTTAAGTGGAAGAAGCCAGACACAAAGGCCACATATTGTATGTTCCCTTTATATGAAATGTCCAGAATAGGCAAATCCATAGAGACAGAAAGTAGATTAGTGGCTGCTACGGGGTAGAGGAGGGGGAAGGGGAATGATGAGTGACTGCTAATGGGTAGAGGATTTCTTTTGGGGTGATTAGAATGTTCTGGAATTAATGATAGTGGTTGCACAACTCAGTGAATATACTAAAAACCACTGAATTGTACATTTTAAAAATGTGAATTTTGTAGTACGTGAATCATATCTCAATTTCAAAAAATGAATTGAGTTGGGTCTCTATTTGTGAATTTTAGAAATGAATAGGACCTTAGAGATCATAATCCATTCTCCCCATCTCCACCTCACAGGTGGGAAAAGTAATGCCTTGTTCGTAACTCACCCGAGAAAATCACCATTGCTCATGTTGCCAAGGAAGGGAGCCCCTTGCACTGTTGAGCTGTTCCTATTTCAGACTCCCAAAGAATGCCCCTGCCCAGTGATCACCAGCCTGAGGACACTCACCTCCACAACAAAGGACACAATGAAATTGGAGCCGAGCATAATGACAATGTAGACCCTCCACAGGACAGGAGTGCAGAGCAGCTGGTGGAAGATGAAGAAGCAAAGTTAGTCTGAAGACAAATATATGCTGGAAAATGTTCACATGTTCACAGCGTATATTTTCATAGGTTATAAATCACTTATGTAATAGACATATGCATATATACATATACATATTCCATATACACATATTACTTATATACATGTTACATATATACCTATTATGTATGCACATATACATATATACATTTTATATATATATATCTCTATGCATGTATGAAACTGCGTGATTCCAATGATTTGGGAACTATGACTATTGCTTTTTTTCTTTTATCTTTCTTTCTTCTTCTTTGTTTTTTTTAGTTCCTCTGTAATTTCTAAACGTCCTAAAATAAATTTGGTCACTTTACAATAAAAAATAATAATAAAGGGTTTCTTGTATGTTTGCGTTGTTTTATTTTTAGGAGGGAATACGGGAATGTGGCTCTGCTCCCAGGAGGCTCTGAGGTTACATGTGTCAAACGTCCACATGGGCAGCATTGTCCTCTTCTCTCTGGTGCTGTATCTCTCCTCAGCTCAGCCCTGCTTTTGAACCCAGGGTGTGGGGTAGGGGGGCCAGGACTGTGAGTACAGCTGCACGGGCTGTGCCATCACAAGGCTGCTCACCAACCAAGCAAGTGGGGCTGCAATCAAGTTGTCACTACTGTCTCTGCCCCTACTTTCTGTCTTCCCCAGCCCCTTTCCAGGCACATGATATATATGATACATATGGATGTTGAATGGATAGATGAATGAATGAATGAATGAAATGAAGCCAAGTGCACTCCATTGTACCTGGCACTGCCTTATACACTGGGGGGGGAGTAAAAAACTGGTACAACTCTATGGAAGGCAATGCTATTAAAATTAAAAGTTCAAATTCACTTCTAGGAATTTATCTTAGAGGTATACTTGTACATGGCTGAAATGATATATGTACAAGGTTATTTTACTTTAGCTTTGTTTGTAATAGTAAAAGATTGGAAACAAAATAAATGTCTATCAATAAGAGACTACATATAAATCATGGTGCGTATATATAATGAAATACAATATTAACATAGAAAAAGAATGAGGAAGCTTTATGTATTGATATGGAACAGTTACAATAATATACTGTCATGTGAAAGAACACGTGAAGGACTGTGTGTGTGGTTGTGGCAGCCATGAAAATGCTCCACTCAGGTCTCCTGCTGCTGGGAGGACAAATGGCAGATGCTCCAACTGCTACACTCAGAACGGACCACCACGTTCACACTAAGGCCACATTTCCCGTGGGCTGCCCATAGCTAGTAACTGTGAGTGAGGCTTCTCACCACACTCATTCTTGCAAGACACTGGACACCTCTGATGGGCGACTTTGGCTTAACTTCCTTAGAGCTGCCCTGCAGTTTAAACTCTACTCATCTAGCCCTCCGTCCTTCCCTCTCTTCTTGACAGGGGTCAGACCCACGTTATAGCCTGGTGCCCTCCCCACCTCCTCTGGCTTTCTAATCTTTTTTCCCTGACAGGCAATTGCTCCAATAACTTTCTATTTTTTTTTTGTTTTGTGAGGAAGATCAGCCCTGAGCTAACATCCGTGCTAATCCTCCTCTTTTTGCTGAGGAAGACCGGCTCTGAGCTAACATCTATTGCCAATCCTCCGCCTTTTTTTTCCCCCCAAAGCCCCAGTAGATAGTTGTGTGTCACAGCTGCATATCCTTCTAGTGGCTGTATGTGGGACGCGGCCTCAGCATGGCCAGAGAAGCAGCGCGTCTGTGCGCGCCCAGGATCCGAACCCGGGCCGCCAGTAGTGGAGCGCGCGCACTTAACCGCTAAGCCACGGGGCCGGCCCGCCAATAACTTTCTTACACGTCTCATCTCACCTTGACATCTCCATCTCAGAAGACATGGACAAATGTAGTAATTTGCTACTATTTATGTAAAAATGTGGCAGAATATACATATAAGAAATATATGTATATTTGTGTACATATATATAAAATATGTCTGAAAGTATGTAAAATAAGATGAGTCATTGGTTGCCTCCAGAGACAGGAAGCGGAGCTGAAGAACAAGGATGAGAGGGAGACTTTCACTATATACCTTTTCTACCTTTTGAATTTTAAACCATGTGAGTGTATTCTCTATTAAAGAAAATCATGCTTTTTTAAAAATGAGCAATAACTAGGTTGTAAAACAGCATGATTACATTTAAAATAAAATGAACTTCATAAATCAGTCAATGCACATTTATAATATCTGAATTTTCAAAGATGCAAAGATATAGTGAATAATGTTATAATTTTCCTTACCTGCATATTCACAATTTTCTAAAATGTGCCCATAATTTTATGTAATAAGAAGAAAAATAATTATTTTTAGGGTGAGCAATACTTCTTTGCAGAATCTTTGCAGTCCTGCAGGCAATGACTCCACACAGGTTCCATGCCAACCAAATACTTTCCCTATTTTGTTACACCAGACGACCCAGCCTCTCTGTAAGAGTCTTCACTATTGGAGTGTGACTAAACCCAACATGCCTTAACCTTATCTTCTGCAGGATTAAAAATTTAATCCACTTAGAAGATTAGTGGGCAAAGACTATTTATCTTCATGAGTATTTAATCTAATTCCTGAAGACACTTAACAACAATGGCAATTGCACTGTTAACCACAGTAATACAATTATAAAAATAAAAACCAAAGGTAGACACTAGTTCATATGTCAAATGTTTAGGTGGATTCATGAAGGTATTGCTGGTTTGGAAGGCACTGTGTGCTCCAAGGTTTGTCTACAATGATAGACAATGACCAGTCAACCATTCATTGCCATTACGTGCCATTCACTACGCAGGGCACTAGTAATACAAGAATGAGTAAGATAGGATCTTGGCCCTCATGAAACTTATCTTTGAGATGGAGACGCAAGCAGTTCCTTTCATCATCTCTTCTGTGTTCTATGTATCGGTCTAAAGGACATTTAGTCATGATTAACTTCTAATTCAAAGGTAGGATAGGTTAAAGAGGAATCAAAATATGTTTTCCCCTGCTCGAATATAAAAAATTTCTGTCTCTTATAGAGTTTCAAACTTGTCTCAAAATCTAAGAGAGTTCATGAGGTAGGGTATGGCTCTTTGAAAGTAAGTTTTGCTAACATTAAGTATGAACATACAGAAAAACACATTTTTAAAGAGGTAAAAAAAAGAGATGTAAATACAGATTCGAGAATTAACTGAGAAAGTTTTATAGGCAGAACTGTTTTAAACAGCTTCAAAACAGAAGCATTTAGGGGAAAATTCTCTCACATTTGAAAGAGAATAGGTATAAATAGCTTTTCCAGTCTCACAGGGATCTTTTAAAGAAAAATGTTCAATTATCTGAAATAAACTTGAATTCAAGACTAGATAGAATTTTATTTGCTGCCCAGCTTAAATAAAAAATATGAATAAATTCAGCATTCTTTTTAACTCCACCATCCCCAAAGAGTAATCAGTGTCAAGAATCCACGTCAATTGCAATTGCGACCTGCTTTTTTATATAACTGTAAACCATCATCATCTCCTAGAGATAAGACTTACATCCAGACGCCTATATAATTCTGGAATATCAGCAAATAGAATGAATAGACACACACCCAGCTGTATGACCAGCACAAGGACAAATATATCTGAGGAAATAAGAACACAACTATCATTTTGAGAAATCAGAATATCACATCTCTTGATAGACATATTCTAGATTAACACTGACTAAATTTACTTGATTTCCACATCCAAACACAGCATAATAGGTAGAAAATACTCATTTCTATGCAATGAGTCTCACCACCACAATTTCTATGCATGTCCTTGAGGCAAGTGGAAATTTTCACATGCATGTTATAAGTTTCAATTAATAAAAGTGGGAAATATATATAGGGTAACATTGACAAAATACATTTCCAATAAATGTCTTGAAGACATCCAAGTATCTGAATCTCTTTAATGCAAATCGTCTGCTCAAATCCTTTTCTGGAAAGAAGGAGGGTTGTAAATAAACAAATGTTTACATTGAAATCATGTAGAGGTCAGCGTTCATCTGCTTTCTCATTCCAAGAAGAAGGGCAAAATAAATGTCTCTGAACAAACAAGTTTTCTGAGGATATTGATTCTTCAACTTGTGCTTCTAAATTTCCCCAGTTAGAGGGGTAGTGATGATATACACATAAACGTCCCAAAGGCTAACTCGGTAACCTATTTCTCCTAACACACATTCCCACCCCCAGCCTAGAATGTTAAGGAGGTGGCAGGTACTTTGGCCAAGAGCCTCCACACTCATCTATGGTCAGGTTCCTCCAGGCTGGACCCGCTCCCAGTCTGCAAACTACACAATGCCGCCCTGACCATTGTCTTCATGGCAGGAGAAGACAGTGTTCCAGCTGAGTGCTACGACCCTTCTCTCCACCTCCTCCTGGATGAATTGTGACAAGTACTGACAAGGAGAGAAATAAATGAGTCTTCCCAATTTGGAGTGATCCCATAAAAAGACACCTAGAGACAAACTTCTGGTGAAGGGAAGAGGTGGAGAAAGAATCCTTAGTACTTAGTGCAGCTTTAAGGAAAGGAGCAGAGGATCAAGAGAATGAGGCTGTACAATGTGTTTTACAGAGCCCTGGATGGGAAGTCAGGACACCCTAGATAAGCATCAACTCTTCAGCTGCTCCCTGAGTGACCCGGGTGTATCTGTCCTCCTCTCTGATGACCTCTCACCTCTGATCTGGTGCAGTTCTACTCACAGTTTGTATAGGTTGGCTGCCTAAATGGTTTTCCTTTAGAGAAGATAAGAGCCACAATAATACAGTTGATTGTTCCCAAGAACCATATAGTAGTGTTCTCAAAACTTGTGAAGTCACTATTACTTCCATTTCTTCCTGGAGCAGCTGGAGAAATGGTTAACTTTGAGATGCTTTCATTTTGCACTGTGCAGGCACTAAAAAGAAAACCAAAGAAGCTAATGAAGAAAGATGATAGGTCCTTATGGAGCATTTGTATCTACAAGGCCCCATGCTCTCGATGCTTCTATAATTGCCTACACTTTGGGAAAGAATATACTGAAAAATAAGGAGAAAGAAACCAACACAGATAGATCTCTATTTTGGAGAGAAAGAGAGAGATTCAATACTTATTTACTCAATAAACTGGGCAAAAATCATGTGTATTAAGGCTATGTGGGAGAGAAAGAGATGAGTAAGCTACGATTCTTCCCTCTGGTGGCTTAAGATCTCTGAATATTTATAAGTAGGGTGATCATATAATTTATCATCCAACAAGAACAGATTCGAATGTGAAAGAAAAAGACATTAATAATTTCATTGGGATATCAGGCTTAAACTGGAACTGCCCAGGCAAACTATAATGCAGGGTCACCCTGGATATAAAAGATGGTCATAGATTATTATCATATAAGACAGGCAAAGATAAGTGCCAATGAAATGATACCATCAAACTGTGCCACAGAGAAGAGAAGATCACTGGAAAATTATCCAAAGGACTTAAGGAAGCCAAAAACTTTGGAAGAATGAAGACCCATTTGCCTCCCATCATATGGGCCAGATGACATTTGATAGAAATTAGAATATGAGAAGCTAAAATCGAGGCTGTGATCATACCTGTGTGTCTTCATGGAATACCAAGGCTGCCTCTGAACCAGAATGAAGCCCACAATATGCATGGCCAGGCTGAGAAGAATGTTGAGAATCACAGAGAGCAGTAGAGGTGGGGAGATCAGCCGTCCTGCAGGTCTGAAAGGCACCAGCTTGGGGTAGGCACCATTCAAATTCACTACAAAATAAATACAAGTTTTATGTTTATGAGAACAGGAAAATGTATTCTTCATCAGAAGGATGGTGTTACTTCTCATGATCACACATCTAAGGAAATTGACAAATTGAAGTGCATCACAAACTGAGGGAACAAAACTATGAATGGATTCAAACTCAAGTCATATGAGGAATTCTTAAGAAAGTGGATGTAAGACAACACACACTCAAATAAACAATCTAACAATGCACCTGAAGGAACTGGAAAAAGAAGAACAAACAAAGCCCAAA